GCAGCTGACAGCGTATTAACAGCCAGACACTTTATGTGAGTCTAAGTACGAGTGTGGCACCACTACACCAATCAGCTGATCCAACATCCACTAGGAGGTACTATATTATCATTTTAGTGCTCGCTGTAATGGAGTATTCAGCCACCATTGCTCTGTAGTTCCGGTAAGAGAGCTGATACTAACAAGAACTGATGATATTATACTTTAAACCAATCAGGGAAAGTAAAGACAGTTATCAAAATAAAATAAAATAGAGAAGGAAGGGCTTTAGAGGAAAGCAAACCACTTGCAGTACAGGGCAGTACACCGCTCTGCAGTCTGTGCTGTGCATGTTACGCTATGCACATTACAAAATCTATTTTGGGTGATGATGTGTGCCTAGTCAAGAAAGGATGTCACGTGGTTTTCTGTTAAAAAAGGATAGAAAGCTAGAAAATGACTCCTTGTTGAGTAAGCTGTAGTTGTGGCTGCTGCCCCAGCTGTGAGACTGCCTCTAACTCGTCTGCGCAGCAGGATGTTCCTTTAGTGCAGTCCCAGCTCTCTTCCCTTTACACAGCAAATGAATAAATAAATGACCAGACATGTAGCACTGTGCACCCAGACATAGAAACATGCTTACTCACAGAAAAACTCTGCTATAAAACATGATCACAAATGTGTCTACGTTTATTCTCCGTCTCCCTCACACACACTCACAGCTATTGTGGGAGAACTGTCAATTTTAGATGCTGTAGCGTTTATCAAACCCACTGACTTCAGGCTTAAATATCCTGCTCTTTGCATGTAAACGTTTGACAAGACTTTTCTGGACACAGAAAGGCACTACTGTCTGTATGGGAACTCTTTTCTGTGAGCACTAACAGTGTGATGTCTAGTCAAGGCCTTTATGGCGGGATCTTTTACTGAGCAGGAAGTCGCACCCCACAGTCACCAGCTCCTGCATCCTCACCTCACAGGTGTTGTAGTCCTCAGAGTCCAGCAGCAGGCAGAGTTTAGGCAGAAGCTCCGGCCAGTTCTGCAGTTCTCCCTTGGAGGCAATCGTGGTGATGAGGATACCTGTTTGGGCAGGAATTTACTATTGGTTATGCTGGTGTGACAAAACTACAAAGAATGCACAGACAATGCTATGTCATGCACAGTCTCATACAAATCCAAAAATCTGATACTTTGCACTTTCTTTATTTCATCTGTAGGGATATGCTCCATATAAATATGCTGTGAATAAGAATTAAAATATTAACGCAGCGCTGTGCTGTTCTCATTGCCCTGTCCTACTCCTGTGACCTGTCCCACAGCTTTATCTAATCTAACCAGAAAACACCAACCTCAAGACATGTACTGTATGACATGTAATCAATAATCAATGTTCAGTATCAGCCAAAGGTTAAACATTAATTATCAGATCATTTATTTCACAGCTACACTCATTTTCCTTTAACCTATTTCATATAATCCTACTAAAACTGCTGGCTGACTGACTTTTTTCACTGATTTTAGCTGTAGGTTCAATGTGACATTATGTTATGTCAGCAAATAAGCAAATCTACCACCAGAGCTCTACATAGGACAAATAATAATCTTGCATTCAGGGAACCCAGAGGATGTAACGTACCCACAGTGGCCCGGATGAGGGGAGAAGAGTCTCCAATGCTTTGGAGACACTCGTTCTTGATGAAATCAGACACACCATTAGGGAAGTTCTGATAGTGGGCTTTCACATTGTTCTTCAGTATCAGGCCACTCAGAGACCGTGTTGGTTCGTCTTGGGGAGGAGGAGAGTAGAATTGTAAAATAACACTGCGGCTGAGCATAAACACACTTGCAAAGTCGGCACAAACGTTGCAGTGCTGTGATGGTTTGTAAGTCAGTTATTAACGGCTCTCAGGATCTCAGTGTCTTCACATCCCTTTTCATTCAAAGCAGTACAGTGCAAACAAGCAGTTGTACCATAAACACAAGCCTGTTTTAACTGTGTGAATTATATAAAGTGCTAAATTAGGTGCGGAAAAGAATTTAAAGCTATTAGCTAGAAAATGATAGACACCTTCCAGAGCCAGCTGTATGAATGGCTGACAATACTTGTAGATTATTGCATCTGAACTAATAGCAACAGCGCCGCAGCATCCTAACATATCTTAACACCACTTAACATATGGGTCATTGACTGTGCAGACAGTCAAGCCAAGAGCCAAGTGGTGCCAGGAATTAGGTTTAAAATTAGAGTGACCCACATCATCTGTGGCAAACATGCCATGAGCTCAGCTGAGTCATGACCGCACAGACCTGGCACTGAGCGTTTACATAAAAATGACATGTCTGACGCTCATACTGTCCAATACCACCAAATGTTCGAGGAAGATGATACATATATGACAAAACAACACAGTGAAAGGATCACAGAGAGCTTACCTTCTGATTTTAACTTTGTCAAAACAAATATCAAGTAGTTATTGAAGTCTGGATACTGGTTCAGCTGCTCAAGTCTCTGTGAAACGTGGTTAAGGAAAACATGGCGCTAACTGCATGTATAGTATGTTGCATGATCATGCTCCCTTCTGTGAAATACTGCAGCACATTTGCATCTGACAGTAACTGTGCACAAGCCACTGGACAGATTTATAATGCACTTCACATGTTACACAGTTCGAATTACTAAACCACACATCTTTCAGCTAGTGTTTGCAAGTCACACTATTTTATGTCTAGTTTTTCTTTGTTTAATGCTAAATGTTAGAAGATGTAATGTATTCACATTTCAATTGTAATCTATTTTCTGCAAAAGATTTAAATCAAATCCTCTTTCTATTGTCCTGTCACAAGAGAACTCTACATTTTAGATGCTGTTGCATCAATAACATCCAGTAATTTAATGCTTAGCCTTTAGATCATATAAGCTTAGTCCAACACCCTGGAATTAGTTCTAGAGATGGATGATAGTTGGATTTGTAGTGTAAAATTATTAATAGGATGCATGGGCATACCTTTCCCAGGAAAGGTATTATTAACACAATCATCATTGCATCGTTATTTCAGTACGCGGGATTTTAACTCTGCGATTATTTTTCCTTGGAAACACAATTTCTGACATTTGCAAGTAGCATGTTTAGCTTCTCGGAGACATAAAGCACCCACCACTCGGCACCTGCGTACCTGCTTATAAAGGTAACCACCCCGGCTAGTACTAGCTTTCCATGTTAGCCTGTGGAGTCAATCTGACCTTATGAAGCACGACCATGTACCACAGTGTGTTATCGTCCGTATCTGGCCTAGGAAAGGATACTTGTTGGACGGATCTCTGTGTGGACGTATCTGGCGACTGAGACTCTTTCAGCAGCTGTAAAATTTGTTGAAGTCCTTGTTCGTCTGGCTTCCACTGACACTCCATCTTGCTCTGCCGCCGCTGCAGATAAAGAAGTCGCGTTAGCTAACAGAGGATTTGTCATCAAACCACCGATTTATAAGAGGGTGAACATGCTAACGTTACATTGGCTAAACGAGTAAACTAATTTCTCATACAGAAAGGCTTTTTACCTGTTTTGACTTAGCAGACGTACTCGACTGTAGCTTTGTTGAAATGTGACAGCCTGTCTGGATTTTCAGACATGGGCCTGTTACAGCACGCACATCCGTTTTCGCAACAAGCTGAAAAATCTGCGGGTCATCGAGGCTGCGTCGCATATAACTGGCCTTCTCTTCAGCTGTCACGGCTGCGGGGTCCTAGTGCTGAACAGATCTTCACCAGACATGTTCACAAAACAGTGCACTGCTTTTAAATCTTTTTAACACTTACGCCTCCGCTTTTAACACCTACGCGCCTTGACTTAGCCACAGTTTAAACCATTTGTGTCAGGAAGGGAGAGGAAATAGCAAAGTCTAAAAAAGAATTGGCATATTTCCCACAGGAATTGAATGCAGCAGAGTCGCCGGTGTGTTTACGGTCTTTGAATTGAATACATGGAAAACAGCGGCATTTAACGGCCGCTCATGGTATTTCTAGTGAACAAATAATGCTTTAGATTAGATTAGGTAGGTGACTTTATTGATCCCGCAATGGGGAAATTTCTGTGTTCCAGAAGCACCAGAGAGCAGCAACAAAAACCATAAGAACAAACACCACACACATATCTTGAGAAACAAATTCCAAAGTACCTAAATCCAAACAGAATATAGTATTTGAGAGACAATCAAGAACAAGAATGATCCCCCCACAATTAATCCCTGAGAACAAATCAAAATACCTAAGAACAAGACAAAATATAGTATTCAAGAAATCGGGGACAAGAATATTACTCCCATAATTAATCCCGCAATGGGGGAAATGGGGGAAATATGTTATGTCTCCCGACACCGGGGGAGAGAGAGCGAACGGGGTAAGAACAACAGGATTCAGGTAGGCAGGGAGTGATTCAAAACAAATTTAATTTCCCCCGGAAAGACACAGAAAAAAAAGAACTAGAGAAATGCGTGTGGATGCTGATATGCTGAAGGATCACCCTGAAAATGCCTGAAATCAATAACTGAAACAGCTGAAGGATGAGAGGAAATGGCTGAAGTTCTTTGTTGAAATAGCTGAAAGATGAAGTTCTTGTGTTTTCTTCCACTGTGGTGCCGCTTGGATGTCCCTGTACACAGATACCTGACGATCTGAGTTGATCCTCCTGTGTAACATGTGTCTCTATTATGTCTCTGACTGCCCTGCAGACTTTACATGTACCCGGCAGCAAACACTGAACCAGAGATGGCCTGTGTTGTTTGTAAATAAGGTAATTACCATCAGCTCCACCTTTACCAGCTGCAGCATTAAAGTGATGGACACAGTAATTAGTCACTATGATCCAGTAGTATCAGAGACATTACTGGGACATGGGCCATTCTGCAGGACGAGTACTGGTACTGTTGGTACTTCAAGTAGATTTTGATACCCATACATTTGTACTTTTATTTAAGTAACATTCTGAATGGAGGATTTGTAACAGTATATTTACAGTGTGGTACTCAGGATGGCGTCTCTCCTGTGTACTTCTCAGTTTTAGTTCCTTTAAGTTTTGATGAGGATCTTTTGGCGCTACAGTCTCTGGTAGAGTGACAAGCTGTGGCTACGTCTGGCTCACTTGCATTGGATGTTGAACTGGGCGGATCAAAATGGCAGCATTTGTTTGAAGTGCGTTCAGTGGTCTTTCATCCTCAGGTTCATCAAAACGTCTTGGGGCACCTACAGCATGTATCAGGATCTGGGGCAGTTTCACTATGGCTGTGAAACTCGCCTCTGACTGAAGCCAGGCTCTCAAGGCACCAGTAGAGAGATATAAGCTTGCCTTCAAAATATTGACATTCTGTTTTTGGAGTCTTTCTCAAACAGTGTTGACAGTTTCCCTGTATCACTGTGTGGACAAGCAACCTGTTTCCATGCTGTATTTCCTGTAGTTCCTCATCCTCAGTGCTCTTGTGTTACCTTTTATGTCAGTTGGCCCAAAGCTCTCTGATAGCCTACATCGTAAAACATATAAATCAGTAAAACATTTAAATTTTTATTTTTACCTCTAAATTGACCCTGAAAATGGAGTCACTGTTGTCTAGGGTTTATATGTAATTTTAATTGTATTTATATGGCTGGATTATCCTAATTGTTGGAAGGCGGGGCCCTTGGACTGTGGGGGCCGCCTACCTTGGGGGGGCTGTAGGGGTATACTTTGCAGCAGAGGTAAACATAACTGTGCACTCTATTACTGACAATCAGTGACTTTCTCATGCATCTTTGGCCAGAGGACATGGATTCAGGTGAGTGGTCACTTGTTTCCCCTTTCCACATCCCGTATCTGTTCTTGCTGAACAGTACAGGACTGTATCATCTGCATACACACGGAGTCAGCATGTAGTCGCATGCAGCTGCCACTAGATGGTTTGCTGTACTGGGTGTAGTCTGAGATTCAGCCTGCTGTTCTCTGTGCTTGCTTGGCAAAGTGAACGGCTGCTACAAGGCTCTGTCTGGTGGCTCCACCACCGAGGGCTTTGAGGATTTCACTGGAGGCATCATGGAGAGCTACGATCTCCAGTGGCCTCCGTCCAACATGTTCCAGATTATTAAGAAACCTCTGCAGGCTGGAGCGCTGCTGGGTTGCTCTATCGACGCGAGTCTGGGGGAAAACACTTGGAGTTTTTTTTATTATTATGCCCATTAACATGTTCTCCAGTCTGAGTTTTTAGTTTCCAGGTAAGCAGTGTTCATTGTGTTTCGACTTACTCTGAAATGTTTTAAATGTAATTACTGAACAGAACCTTGTATATGAAGCAAATCAGCTAAAACTACAGTTTTGTGGTGATTACAATACAACTTTGTCTTAATAAACATCAGTTCAGTCAGTCGCTATTGTTTAATGTTATTTATGTACAGCTCTGAAAAGCCAGCAAACACACCATGTCTAAATAATTCACACATCTTGGTTGGGTAAACAGAAATTAGAGCTCAGTCTGATGCAGTTTGGCCGCAGAGTGAGAATTCCTCTCTGTCCTATCTCTGCAGGATGTTCTTCAGCAACTTCCAGCATCAGTACTCTGTTATTGAGTTGTGCACTCTTATCCTTGACACCGTCGAAAATGACTCGGTCAAACCCTGGAGCCTCAGCAAGTTCAACGGCACCTGGAGGAGAGGTTCCACTGCCACAGGAATCATCCGTGTTAGTAATGAAACCACTTAAAGCAGCAGCCAGTCAGTAGCTGCAGTGAGTTGGTGATGAAAGGTGCATATACTGTCTCCAAAGTTCAAACAGAATTGACAAGTAGGAAGCGTCTTAGCTGAAAGAACCCGATCTTTGATCAAGGCTGATCCCATCTGATTAGACCTTCACTGCTATGGGGAGGGTTTGTTCTGTGAAGCTTTGCGAGGGTGTGGCTGTGGCTCATTTAAAGCAGATTGTGATGGTGGAGTGATGGAGCTGCAGTCAGGGGATGTTCCTGATGCAACTGAAGCTGTTTTCCTCTGCAGACACCTTCTGGATGGATCCTCAGTATGTGATCAAACTGGATGAGGAAGACGATGACCCAGATGATAACAAGGTGGGCTGCAGCTTTGTGGTCGGGCTGATCCAGAAGAACCGCAGAAAGCTACGGAAACGAGATGATATGCTCACCATCGGGTTCACCATCTATGAGATGAGCATGAGGAGTCTGCTTCAAGTCTAAGATCAGGATAGGGAGACTGACTTCCTACAGCTTAACAGGTTCATCCATGAACCCACACTGACCCTTTTCTGTCTTCTGTTTTATTTCAGCTTCCACAGCAGCTGATCACTCAACTCGTAACATTGTCAGGTTCAAGATCAAAAGATGAAAAACGCCCTGCTGTTCAGCATTCAGACCCACCCAGGACACTTCAGGACCTTGTAGTTTTTTAAATGTATTGTTTTCTTGAGATTCACTGTCGGTAAACAAGATTCAGGAGACAAATGAGAAGCAAACATGGATGATGTGACCTTGCTGTTCCTACTCCATCATAGGTAGTAATAATTTGAGTAGCCTAGATGGAGTGAAGTCAGACATTTCCTGTTGCCAGTCACAGCATATGTTAGAATTTACCCAAATTCTTTTATTGAAAGCGCGAGAAGTGAAGACAAGAGAGGACTGTTTAAAATCAACAGGAAGTTTACTCAAAGTCTGGGCACAGGTGAAGTCTTAAAGCGCTGGGGTCAGAGAGACAGAGCTCCCACAGGAGATCCATTCTCTGAGCCATGAGTTACGTGTTTACATTGAATTTATCTTCTTGGGCTAGGGCTGCCCTGGACAGATGTACAACATTTCACACTTCGTAATCCTATTGGCCATTTGGTGTGAGTAGGTCAACCCCTGCCTGCACCTGCTTGCTGAAATGTGATCTAAACCAGGTGTGTGTGTGTGTGTGTGCGTGTGTGTTTCTCAGGTGGCAGCTTGATCTTGATCAATGAACACTGAACAACAGGTGGTCTGGGCTGCAGGCCCCCCTGTGTGTGTGATGCTAATAAGTATGCTAAACTGGCCAGGTGGTCATCTCAGGTTGTAGGCCCCCTGCCTCTGGGTGAAGGTGCAAAACAGGCCAACAGGTCTTTGTTAAAATGTAAACTAGGCTGTCTGGTTACCTGAAGATACAGACACTATGTCTACACAGAAGTTAAAGCAGGCAATTTCTACTTCAGTATCACTTGACTCGCATCGATACAATTGTAAGATATATAAGCAAGGAAAATAAAGGTATGAAAAGTAACTAAAAGTAAATGAAGAACTGAAACGTAACTAAAGGAAACTAGAGTTATGAAAAGTAACTAAAGGGAACTAAAGGTATGAGAAGTAACTAAAGATTATAAAGTAACTAGAGCCTATAAGAATGAAATCTTACTCATATCAGAAGCCTGGAGGAATTCAGCTGGTCTAACCCCTGATATTTAGCAGTGATGGAACCAGGTCAAACATCTGTAGTTAATGGTGTGGAAAAAAAAACGTCTTTGAAATGCTAGAAGCTCTGTGTCACTGAGTCTGAGACTTCTACAAATGACCAGAGCTACACCAGCTGCCCACTTGCCCTGTCTTCACCGGCTGTCTCCCCCTGCAGTTCCACAGCCAGAGGGAGGTGTATCTGGATAACAACTTCTTCCTGACCCACGCTCAGAAGGCGAAGTCAGAGACCTTCATCAACCTGCGCGAGGTCAGCACTTGCTTCAAACTGCCGCCCGGAGAGTACCTGATTGTCCCGTCCACCTTCGACCTGCACCTCAATGGAGACTTCTGCATCCGTGTGTTCTCTGAGAAGCAGACCAAGAACCTGTAAGAGCCTGGTGATGTTTGGGGGAGGGGTAAAGGAGGACTATTTGACAGCAGCCTCTCTTTCTTTATTAGTCAGTCCTGACAGTCGTTGAACTAGAAATCCAAAGAATGGACCCTGTTTGGGTTCTGGTCCAGTCCACACTGCCTG